GACACATTCCGCCCCAATAGACAAATGAACGTCGAAGGTTGCCCAAAAAATATTACATTGCATTGATATGTTGTCCATCATATTGAGAACTTAGCCTCAGACTCTTTCCAATTGAATTCGATTTGGTTTTGGCTTCGATTGGTCTGCGGATCCCATGGATCGTTCTTTCGTTGGTTCGGTGCCCACTTTGGGCATACCAATCGCGACTGACTGCTTAGGCGGCTGTCAGATGCCTTAACGGACGGCCAACAACATGGTGTGGCATGTTTCCTCCTGATAGATGTCTCTGATTTCGTAGAAAACGAAAGGCAGGCAGGGGTCTAGGGTCTGCCCCTGTCCCACTCGCTCTCCCTCTTGCAGTTTGCCTATTTTAGTGCTAATTAATGGGAAGTACAAGCAGTCGTTCTACTCGTTGCAGCTTAATTTGTCGCGGCTGGAGCGACTCGGATTGAGGCGAAGCCAGTTCCAGCCAATGTTGCATGCACCACAAGTGGGTAGACGCAAGATTGACGTGTCATCCATGCTGTTGCTCTGGCTCTGGCTGTGGCTACTCCGGCGTCTGTCCCTGTCAGCGACTGAACCTCTGTCTCGGGCCTGGTCAAGTGGAGTCCAACTCCATCTCGGACTCTGCTGCGGCTGACTTGTCGCAGAGTGTGTGCCGTGGCAGGTTTCTATTTGCATACGATCCACGCCAAGTGCAACGCTTGATTCGGATTTGGCTGCCGCAATTGAATGAACGTCTTTTTTTTTTTGCGGCACGGCCAACGCCTCGCGCTTTTCACTAAAGTGCCTCCTCGGTTGAGCCATCGATTAGATTGGGCCACAGCATTTAGCTAATTACCGAGCTTGTCGTGGAGCGGAACGGGTACCCTGAGTGGCGGGCAAACCGCTTAGAAGATGTCAGCCCGGTCGGATTCCAGTTAGAGATGAGCGAAAGCAAGGCCAATGAGGATGTGCCACCCGTACGGGGAGTAAAAGATAAAAATTTGAAATAAATATTAGCCACAGCCAATTTAACAGACTTTTAACTACGTTTATGTATAATTTATAATTATTTATCTACTTTTTTCTCACACTTTGCCTGACTTTGTACCCGTCCGTTCCCACTTTGGACCCCGCTCAGCCATTCGGCTCTCCCACAATACCCATTCCATTCCACTTCGTTCCCTTGGACCATCAATTGTTTGGGCTGTGGACACGCACCAGCACCAGCCAGCACCGGACAGAACGTGGCTAATCCCCCTGGGGCTTTACTCCTTCGATACTATGCAAATTTCGAGTATTCTGTTTTAGTTATGTGCAAATTTATTGTTTATAAAAAGCAGCAGCACCAGCAGCAGCACCAGCAGCAGGATGATGAGCTGTGGAAACAAAGGGACAGCGCGGAGAGCGATTGCTGCCATTGTTTTTTGTGTTCTTTTATTTCTGTATTTATTTATTTGGTTTTTCTGTTGTATTTCGGTGGTGTTTGGGGGGAGTTTTTTGTGGCCCAAGTTGTGCTTCTGCTCTATCGTCAACTGGTTTCGGGTTACGTGCACGCACACACAGAGCAGAGCAGAGCAGAGTCCGGCAGGAGAGAGTGGGAGAGGAGATGCAGCAGCAGCAGCGATCACATAATTCGTGTTGCTGCCTCATCATTCTTATGCTTTTCCAGGCTGGAGCACCGACTGGGGCTTTGGCTTTGGCTCCGGTGCAGAGACGGGCAGAGGGACGGAACAAGAAGACGCTTTTTGCCAAGTTTATTTTTATCAACAGCGGCAGGCAGGCAGCATTTTGCTGCCGTTGCATGATGCCTTCTGCAGCTTCAACTCCTGTCCCCCTGCTCCGTATTCCCTTTAGCACGGCCTGCTGCTGCTGTTGTGTGTATCTATAAAGACAAGAGACAGGGCTTTTTTTTTGCGGCATCCCGACATCTCACGATCTTTAACATGTTTTGTCTCGATCAGTGAAATCATTCAATCAGAACGGTCAGCATCGGCCTGCGGTCGTTGCCAGGAGACGATGCACACAGACACACAGCCACACACACTTGGAGAAACAATCTTGTAGTTGTAAATTATATAAGGCTAAGCCGAATCTGGTTTTGTGCTTTTAAGGAAGGAAGCCAAAGCCACAGCCACAGCAAACATCTCTCCCCAGTGCCAGCGATTCGATTCCCAGTGCAATCGATTGAAAGTGTTTGCGCCTCTCTTTTTTTGTTTGCGCTGCTCTCACATCTCATATTTGTACCGTAATTATGCAATATCTAAAGCACATCTACTCATATCTGCGTCGTTATTCTGCACAGATCTGAGCAGCCCATCAGTCAAATGCAGGCGCTGCCCATCCCTGCCACGGTAGCTGCCAGTTTATGACACCCCAAGCAGCAGAACAATACAAAAGGTACTTCCAATTTTTTTTGCCAGAGTCATCCTCCTTGTTTCAGTTTGATGGAGCACAAGAGCAGGAGAAACAGCGGGAGTGCGGGTCAGTGCTGCGAGTCCATAAAGCATGTTTTTAAAATTCCATTAAAATTTATTAGCATTTCACACAAAATGTGCATAAATAACGTGGACCCAAATCGGGATACTTTTGAAACCATACCGCAGAGGGGCAAACAGATAACGAAAGAGAGCGTGAGAGCGGTGGAAGCGGTGGGGGAAGCTGTTCTGAAACGGTAACCGCGCGCCCCTCTTAATGATAAAAAATTGCTTAACGTTTTCGGCCTTTGATACGCTCGTTGAGCATGAGCATGCTGTGATTTCGATTTTTGGGGGTCTCTGGGGTTTCGTAAATATCTTTCTGTCTGTCGGTATGTGCGCGCTGCACTTTATTGGAGGGCAGCGCATCTTTCCCATTGCTAAACAGTTTATGCGCAGCCTCTGTTTGCTTTTGTTTCTCCCCTTCCAAGTCCGACACGGACAACCATTGTTTATGCACGCATTATCTAAACAAATACGAAAATAACTCATTAAAATCAGCGGCTGTTAAACAGGGGCATTTTAAGGTGTTTTTCTAGGGAGTTGGAGGAAACAACACGAGAAATTAGAGTTAATGTAATTCCCCCCAAATCTAATACGCTGATCTGCTGAGCCACTGCCTCCGCCGCTCTTCCCCTGCGCACTCTTCTTCTTGGCTGCGCGCTCTCCAAGCAGTCAGTCATGTAAATAATTTGACAGAAGAGTAAATGCCGTGGGCGAGGGGTGAGAGACAAGTGCAAAAGGCAGAAAACGGCAACTCAAGTGCAACTACCAAAGGGCATTACAACAGGGTGAGACGCAACGCAGCGCACGCTCTCACTCATCTGTTTTGTACGTAAAGAGAGCATAAGATGGAGCGGCACTGCCTCACCTTATTCAAGACGTCACGCGCACAACTGCAGTGCAAAAGAGAGCGCCAACAAGAGAGCGAGTTTGCGTGCGTGCGTGGAGCGCATGCGATCGTTCGCTTAATCTCTTCCCAGTATTTCCAGAACCTTCTCCTTCCTTTCTTTTCTTGCCTTTATTGCGTCGCTTGTTCTTGTTCTTGTGGCTGCAATGCAAAGTGCATTAAGCCGCTGTCGCCGTCGCTGTCGCTGCCTCTTGGACTGTGATTCCTGGCGCGGCTATAAATGACAGGTTCCAGGCCCATTTCCCTTTCAGTATCGACCCAACGACGCAGTCGCAATGAATCGCTGGCTAAGCTGTGGGTGCTACTCCCACCACAACCCGAACTCGATTCCTAATCTCTCTGTCTCTCTCTCTCTTCACAGTTCTACTTTTAGTTGGAGCGCTCGCTGTCCCGGGCGGGCGGTGCAACACCATCAAGGAGCGCAATCTGTTCGCCACGGAGCTGTTCCAGACCCTGGCCACAGAGCGGCAGGACGAGAATGTGATCATCTCGCCAGTGTCCATTCAGCTGGCTCTGGGCCTGGCCTACTACGGCGCGGAGGGCAGAACCGCCACGGAGCTGCAGAAGGCGCTGCACGCCTCGGCCAAGGAGAGCAAGGATGGGCTGGCCGAGAGCTACCACCGCCTGCTGCACTCCTACATCAAGTCCAAGACGGTGCTGGAGATTGCCAACAAGGTGTACACCCGCGAGAACCTCAAGGTGGCGCCACACTTCCGCGAGGTGGCCCAAAAGTACTTCGACTCGGACGTGGAGGCGCTCGACTTTAGTCGCGAAACGGAGGCCGTCGATCGCATCAACGCGTGGGTGAAGCAGGAGACGCAGCAGAAGATCGACCGGGTGGTGGACAGTGTGGAGCCGGACACCAATGTGGCGCTGGTCAATGCCATTTACTTCAAGGCACGCTGGGCGCGGCCCTTCAACGATGAGGACACGCGCGAACGCGACTTCTGGCTGAGCGAGGGACTGTCCGTCCAAGTGCCCACCATGTTCGCGGACAACTGGTACTACTACGCGGACTACCCCGAGCTGGATGCCAAGGCCATTGAGTTGTTCTTCGAGAACATCAACATGACCATGTGGTTCATTCTGCCCAATCAGCGGACCGGACTGCGCGCCCTCGAGGAGCAGCTGAAGGGCGTGGACTTTAAGCTGCTCGAGGATCGCTGGCAGTACCAGAGCGTGTCCGTCTACTTGCCCAAGTTTAAGTTTGAGTTTGACACGGACCTGAAGCCCACACTGAGCAAGGTAGGAAGTCGGGCATGACACTTCATGCTTGAGTTTTTATTGGGTTTCTTTTTCCCTTTGATAGATGGGCATCAGCGCCATGTTCTCGGATGCCGCGGACTTCAGCAACATTTTCGAGGACTCGCCCATTGGCACGCGCATCAGCCAGGTGCAGCACAAGACGTTCATCGATGTGAATGAGATTGGCTGCGAGGCAGCAGGCGTGGGCTGTAAGTATTAGCCACCCTTCACCCTACACCCTTCGATATTTGCCTTATAAATCCCTTTCCTAGATGCCGCTGGAGTGCCCATGTCGCTGCCCCTCGATCCGAAGACCTTTGTGGCCGATCATCCCTTTGCGTTCATCATACGCGATCCGCACGCGGTCTACTTTACCGGACACATTGTCAAGTTTTAGCTTTTATTCAGCGCTCATATCATAGCATTGAAAGTACATTTGTAATCGCTTCATAAATGAATAAACTGGAACTCGTTTTCCATTCGATTTAGAACATGACCGTGAGGCAGTAGGGGGTTTGGGTCTCATTGTTGCACGCTCCCTCGGAGATCACTTTGATGACTGCAAAAGGGAAACTCTTTTATGGATTTCGCTCTGCATAATGGCCTGCAGCCCGCTCACCGCTCAGGCCCCGCTCCTTGCGATGGAAGTTGAACGTGTTAATGGTGCAAAATTCCGTGTTGAAGTAGCAGCCGCTGAAGGCACAAACCATTTTGCCATCGGGTTTTGGACAGTTGTTGGGCCACAGCATCCGAGGCACTGCCACCTGCACCAGCAGGGCTACAACTGCAATAAAGGATTGTGGTGGTAAATCTCGAGTGTAAATTGCTAAACCAAATACCAAGGAGGAGTACCGCAGCGCGCTTCATGTTCGATTCGTTGCCTGAAAATGATTCCAGCAGCCAACTGGCAGGCGTGACTCTCAGCCATGCCAAATCCATTCTACAGGGTTCAAGAATCCAATTATGATAAATGCAAGTCACAGAAAGCCAAGGCTAAAGCACTTCGGCTTTAACGATCAGTAGAGACTTCGGCTGATATTTCATAACGTACTCAGTGGCCGACTTTAGCTTGAGAGCTAAAAATAAACATAAAAGCCGTGGAAATAAATATGGAAATATATTTTCGAAGTCAATTGCAATATTTAACTCGAAGCAACGGGAGAACGTGCGACCCCAAAAGAGTGAGGAGAAAGTCAAGCTGGACGAACGGTGGATGCCCTGCCCTGCGAGGTTCCAGCAAGATTTGGTTAGCCCCCTCCCAGAGGCCTCTTCTAGGATCTGGGATTAGTTAAATGAACTGTCAGATCACCACAGAAACGAGTTTGCATCAAGAATCAAGATCTCTCGGGGCCCTTCTGCGGAGTAGACAGCCACAGCGCCTGCGCCTGCACCTGCACCTGCTGCTGCTGCTGCTGCTGCTGCACGTTTTAAAATTCCGCTCACAAAACGTGAAAACAAAGAAACAAAAGGAGAAACAGCAACAGGGAGAACTTGTCAGGGCGCACATAAACAATTCTAACAAAAAAAGGGACGGACAGCTAGAGGAGCGACATCACATGCCACATGCGAGGCAGCGTTCCAAGAGGGAGCGCTGCAGGAATTACAATTACAACGAGGCAGCGCTCCAAGGTATATGCTTCGAGAGGTGCAGCACTCCCCTAGGTAGTTGCATTTTGTGTACGTTGAGCCATTCCTTGATTTTATTTACTTTTAGCGGCGCGTCGAGCTGTCTGTGTGTTCCCAGTATCCAGCGCTCAGCAATTACCAGTATTTCCGCAGTCGAAAGAGAGCGCGCGCAATCGGCAGCGAAGAGAGCGCGCGCGACTCCCCGTTTGGAGTTCGTCTTTGGAGCCCGATCAGTCTGCTTTCAGACACGAACACACACGAGCGCGCGATCACTTGGCTCCACGTGAAGCACAGTTCAAGTTGCGCATGCGCGAAACCTTGCGAAAGAAAACGTTATTGCAACGGCAATCGGACAACGTCTACTGCCCCCGCGTTATTTTCGGCCAGGCCTTCTTATCAAGATCCGGGGCAGCTGTCTCGAAACCGCCCCGAGGCTTGCGTGTGCAACGTACCGTGCCACGGCCAAGAGGAGTTTTTTAATGAATAAAAAATACAAATATATGCAACAAGTAGCCGTAACCATACGTGTAGCAGCATCAGTGTGTGCCTGTGTGCCTGTGTGCGGTGTGTGTCTGTGTTTTTGGTAAAGTAAGCAACAAAAAAAATGTGCATCAATTATTTTAAATGGTCAACTTAGTGCTCCCCCCTCCCAGCCACAGTGCGCGACATCCAATCAGCGCGAAAATGTCCACCACTTTGTGCAACACAGATCCCAAGCAGTAAACACAATTAAGGCGACTGGGAGACAGCGTCCGAGCCAGAGCCAGAGCCAGAGCCAGAGCAGCGCAAACGTAATTCGGGCACCGCGAACCAGTTTCCAGTTTCTAATGCCAATCCAGCAATCGACAGGCACACTCCACCTCCAAATGCCACCAACTGCAAAATAAAAGTTATAGCCCAACAAAAAATATAAGAGAAATAACAAAAACCTAATAATAAATACGCCTAAGCCCAAATTGTTGTCAGTTTTGTGCGGCTTTTTCGTTGATTTATGTGCGCGATTAAAGGAAACAGCAACAGAAAAGTCCAAAAGGCAGCGACAGAAAACGATAATAAATAAATCCGTGTAGCTGCAGCGCCCCACCCTTGCCCCCCCACAGTGAGTGTGTGTTGTGTACCTATGAATGCAAATCAAGCGAAAAACAAAGCCAAAAGGCAACAGCTGATCAAACGCCAGAGATAAGCTGCAGTACAAGGATAAATTCCCGCAACATGGATAAACCCAATCAAATGATGCCCATGGAGCTAGAGAGGTGAGCGACATTTGTAGCTAAGCTTATGGCAACATGTGTAGCTACATTTCAGCTACATATTCTATGTGGACACTTTTTGAATTATTTAACAACAAAATATAAAACACTTAGCACCTCTTTCGTTTGCTCAAGCTCTCACACGAAATTAATTTAATTATTATATGTAAATTCAAGCACAAAAGTTGCCGCCTTTATTTAGCAATAAATGAAATGAACAAAGTGTACAACAAAATATTCAAGAGCTCGCCTCAGACATACGCATAGTTGGCAATGTGCCCAATGAAGGCTATCGAGTCCCGGTACTTGACAGCAAACACAAACGGATGATCGGCCTCGAACTTCTTGGAACGCGAGAACAAGCCCTTGAGAACTATATTTGGGAAGGGAACGAAACCATAAATAGGGGAAAGACCCTTGGGGAATGAGCAAAACTCACCGCCCGATTCCAGTGGCTGTTCCACGCCCGCCTCCGAGACCTCGACATTGGCCTTGTGCTCCACGGCATTGATGAAGTGGCTGACGAACATGCGATACATGTTGCTGAAGTCACCGTCCCGGGAGAACATTGTGTGCACGCCCAACTGCTTGAAGGGCTTCTCCAGACTGAGGCCAAAGGTAACGCTGAATTTGGGCAGCAGCACCTCCACCTTGTGCTGGCTCAGCTCACCAATCTCCGCCAGCAGATTCTTGCCCACCAGCGTTTGCTGGAGGGACCTCAAACCATCCTTGCGGTTGGGCAGCAGAAGGAGCATCGAAAAGTCAGCATTCTGGTAGGGCAGCTCCACGACCTTGGCATCGAGAGAGCGCACCTCGGCATAGTTGAAGTTCTGCAGGGTCCACATGGTGTCCACGCGCACGGACTGTCCGTTGCCGGTGCGGAAGGAGCGCTTCTCGGTCTTGTCCAGCCTGAAGGCCTTCTGCCAGGGCGCCGCAAACGAGATGCCATTGACAATGACGCCCTCGGTGCGATCGTTGAGCAGTTCGGCGGCGAGAATGTCATTGATCTTGCCATTGGTCTTGGTGGCGATCGCTCGATTGATGCCATCCGCTGTCCGCTTGTTGTACGGCGGATGGAAGTCCAACTTGTCGATGTTCGAGTCGAACTGCCGCTGGGCCACGTCCCGGAAGGAGCCCTTGAACTCCAGATTCTCGTTGATGTAGATGTTGTTGGCCAGCCGCAGATTGTTGTCGCGTGTCAGCGACTGCTGATAGCTGCCGAATCGCTGGCTCACCTGATCCACATCCCCGGGACCCAGCCGCAAGCCCTGCTGCAGCTCGCTGGCCGTCTGACCCTTGGCCCCCACAAAAGCCAAGGCCATGGAGCTCTGTATGCTGGCAGGCGAGATCACAACATTCTCATTCAGGTGATCGGCGCCCACCGCATTGTACAGATCGGCGGCCAGCAAATTGCGATCGATGGAGGCATCAAAGCCCGAGTTGGTCTTTGCCCGGGCAAGGCCCACAAGGAGCACTAGAGAACGGAGGGGAAAATGTTGTTAAAGATCGAGCGTTTTTCCTTTGATCATAAGTAGTCATAAAAGAGAATAAACGAGAGCCATGGAACCCATTAAGACCAGATCGTATAAATTGGGGCTTACGTAATAGGCAGCTGACGATGACAGCCATGATCGCAGTCGTTTGTAGCTTTGCTCCACTGATTTCGCACTTGAGATGAGACCCAAACGCGTCGGAATATAAACTGAACGAGCAGTCGAGCGGCGCTGCGCCTTGGAGGTTGTTCCAGCCGCGAATTCCAATCAATTTTCACAGCGCTCTTTCGCTCTCTTTGGCTCTCTTTTTTATTTGGGGGGATCTCAGAGAGTGATGTTTACAAATCATTTGTCACCTTTGCTCTGTGTTTATTTGCTACGAACTAGAAACTGATTTGAGCCTGAGTCGGGGCACTGATAAGGCGATAACCTCCGTGTGGCCTTCCCACCGCTGAATGCATTCGACGTCGGAGGGCACTCAGATGTCGACTATGTGGCCAGCCAGCAGCAGGCTCTTGTCGTTGCCGATGGCATAGAAGAACGGATGATTGATGGCCAGCGGCAGGGCGCGTCGAAACAGATCCCCAAAGGCTGCAAAAAGACAGCAGGCAGCTGATTAAAGAGAGAGAGAGAGAGAGCAAAGACTTCCAGACACAAACTTACAGAAAGAATCGCTGGCGCTGCCACCCGCCTCCTGCAGCTCCAGCAGCGTGCTCTGCGACATCTCACCCAGATGGGGGGCCGAGCTGGCGAGCAGCGAACTGAAGACTTCACCCAGCTGCGCCTCCGCTGTGAAGAGTCGCGTCAGACCCAGCTGCAAGGCAAGGAAGGGGGTTGGAAGGGATTTACCGTTTGCGTTCTACTCTTTGCTCACCTCTTTCAGCACCTTGGAGAGCTGCGAGTGGACCAGCACCTGGAACTTGGGCAGCGTGAGAGCCACCTTGCGCTCGCTCATTTGCCCACGGAGATACTGCAGATCGTACTTGGCCAGCTGCTGCTCCAGCTCCGGCAGTCCATCCGCTCTGTTGGGCAGAATGAGCAGCAGCCGCAGCTCTGCCACGGCAAAGGGCAGCTCAATCAGCTGCGCGTCCAGAGCGGCTATCTCCGCGTACCTGAAGCGATGCTGCCCGAACATGGCATCCACCAGCTTGGGTCGCTGTCCCTCGCTAAAGAAATTGATGCGCTGCGTCTCATCGGGGTCGAAGCTCTGGGCCCAGGGTGCGCGGAAAGTCACCGCCGACACGTGCAGGAAGGGTGTGTCGTGTTCGGCGATGGCCTCGAGCTGCGCAGCACTGACCAGCTCTCCCACACTGAAGTTGCTGCGGGTGAGGAAGTCATAGTTGATGGCTTGGGCGGCGCTGGCGGGCGACTCCCACTCGAGGCGATGGCTGCCGACTCCCATTTGGGCTGCGAGCGCCTGGAACTCATCCCGAAAGTTGAAGGTAAAGCGCTGCAGCGTGTAAAAGTCGCTGAGCAGACGCAGGCGACAGCCCACGGCCGAGGATTGCTTCAGTTCGGAAAGCAGTTCCCGAAGGCCAGCGAGCGATTGTCGGGCGCTGCTCGCATGCGGCAGATCGAGTGCCTCGCGCAGCTCCCGGGCCGCCGCGGAGTCGGGCTCGGTGCCAGCATACAGCAGGCCGAGTGCTGCCTGCACGAGGATGGGCGACACGGCCACATTGACACTGGGTTGACTTCGTCCCAGCCTGGCGGAGAGTCGCAGCCCAAAGCGATAGTTGGAGGCGCTGGCGGTAGCTGAGCCCGGACTGCCCGAGGCAGCGCCAACGACTGCCAGCAGTTGGATAGCCAGCAGCGCGGCCAGTGGGAGTCGTCTCCAGTATTGTTTATTGCTCATGGCTTGTGGCTATTCCAAGCTTTGTTTGGTTTGCGTAGTTTGTGATCCAGTGGTTTACACACAACTAAACGAAGTCGTCACACGGCTCATTCATGGAAATTCAAAAATACTTCGAAGACATTGAGCCGGTCGGGGTTCACAGTTTGTTTATTGATTGCGCAGCCAAAAGCTCGGCATTGAAATTCTGTCAGTGTTGCTGCGGGGGGGTTGGTGGGGAGGGACGCTGACCGAGAGAGAGAGAGAGGCACAGTAGCTGCTGTGAGCACACAAACGAATTGAGAGCGGGAGAGCGGGAGTTGAACTTTTGAAGAGCGCAAGCAGGCGCAGAGAGTGAGAGGGAGAGGGAGAGGGAGTGTCGTGCTATCCAGTAATGATTTCAAGATCAAGCTTCTACCTGCCCGCCTCTCTGCCTCTCCGTTTCGCTACACTTGCACAAAACAAAGCTGTAAACATTGAGCCAGCCGAGCCTTAATCCCTGCTGAAGCCCCTTTTTCTGCGAGTGCATGGGCAACCTTGAGTCGAGGCTATTAATTATGCGCAGCTTTCAGCGGGTATTCCAATTACTCATCTCGGGCTTTCCCCTCTCTCTGTCATTCTGTCGCGCTCTCGATATACACTCGTGCTGGCTGTAGTGCGCATGAGGAAGTTCGCTTTGAAAAATGATTGAGAAATTCGCTTTTTATTTATAGCCACTCCAGTGAGGCGGCAGTGGGGGCCAGGCCAGATCGTGGCTGGGCTACCCAAACGGGTTTGCCAACTTACAGCAACGAGCGAACGGCAATCGCTGGAAATTCTGAATCCAAATCAACAAACAGAATGAGCACGAGCTGGGAAAAGGCACCCACCGGAGGTGCAGCTGTGGGCTGCAAAGGTTATCGTTCCTACAGCGAAAGGTGATTCGCATTGAATGATTCGCAATCCTTGGGGGAACTATGAGTATTTTTTGTTCACTTTATTATTTGTTTCGCAAATGCATCAATCTCTCTCTGCTCTAGGGTGTGTCGCGGCGGAGTCTCTTAGGCCAGTGCCGTGGGCTGCAGCACGTGGCCGATGAAGAGCACCGAGTCGGGTGTGCGCAGCGCAAAGACGAACGGATGATCGGCATTGAACTCGCGCGACTTCATGGGCAGGGAGAGGGGCACAAACTTGGCATCTACCAAAAGAGAGAGAGAATAAAGTTAATCCTGCACGCTGAAAGCTTCTCCTTTTAGCTGTACTCACATGATGAAGCCGCCGCCTCCGAACCCGCCTCGTTCACATCGATGAAGGCCTTCTGCAGTATTTTGGACACGCGCACGGGCCGATTGAGCATTTTTGTGACTTGGGACCTGCGCGTGAACATCTCGCGGATGCCGAGCTGCTGCAGTGGCTCCGTCATGTCCTGCTCGAACTCAATGCGGAACTTGGGTATCCGAATGGTCACCGTCTCCTGGCGCAGGCGTGCCGCAATCCTGTTGAGATCGTGCTGGGGACGTGCCAACTGCTGCTCGAGCTGTGCCAGGCCATTCACTTGGTTGGGCAGCAGAATCAGCATGCTGACCTCACTGTCCGCGTAGTTCATCTCCAGGGCAGTGGCCCCAAGATCGGGCAGATCCGCATAGCCAAACACATCATCGTTGAACATCATTGCCACATTGCTGGGCGCACCGCTGCCGCGTCGGAACTTGCCGGAGCTCGTGTCCGTGGCGGAGAACTCGTTGGCCCAGCGGGCCTTGAAGTAAATGGCATTCACCAGCATCGCCTCCGTCTGGCCATCGATGTCGCCGGGCTTGACCAGCTCCCGGATCTTGTTGCGCGTCTTGTCCGACACCCAGGCATTGATCCAGCCAGCCGTAGCCCTGGCGCGTCCCATGTCCACGGGCTCTATGCCGGACGAGTAGTAGTACTCCGCGTACTCCGGATAATCCCGATTGACGGCGCCCAGATTCTTGTTGTAGAACATCTGACTGACAATGTTAAGCTCCGCATTCTGTAGCTGTCGTCGCTGTTTGATTAGCTGACGGAAGTCCTGCCCCACGGCCTGTGCATCGCTGCTGAACTCCGCCGCCTGCTGCAGCTCCTGGGAGGTGCGACCCTCGGAGGCGCCGTAGATCATGCCCAGCAGCGCGTGCACCGACACTGGCGAGTAGACCATATTCTGTTGCTGCGAACGGCTGGCAATGGGCTGGAAGAGCTTCGAGCTGAAGCGATCCTTGAAGCTGTGCTTGGCAGGGGGACGTGTGGGACTGTTGGAGGCGGCGGGCAGATGCACCTCATTGGCGCCCAGCACATTGGCGGGCTGTGGCTGTTGCTGGGGCTGTTGCTGTGGCTGTTGCTGGGGCTGTGGCTGTTGCTGCTCATCGGCAGTCGTCTGGGGCTGCAGCTCATCCTCCAGCGGCCGCTGATTGTCTGTCTGAGCTCTGGGTGCTGCCGGAGCAGCGAGTGCGCCTCCGAAACGCAATGCGATGGGCACGACATAGGTGCCGTGGGTGTAGGCCTGCGCAGCCAGCAGGTAGGGTCCCAACACCAGGAGCAGCAGGAATACTAAAAGAAAACAGAGATTGGCCTACAGAACGTGCCTCGAGGTGTAGCTGTTCCTTTTGCTTACTGCATTTGCTTGCCATTTCGTTGTCTGTTATCTCAGCCGCTTGACCCGTTACTGTTTTCCGCACTATATTTAAATAAATATCAATCAATTCCTTGTCGCTGTGCGGCCTGCTGCGGTGTAGTGCTGAGTCGATCAGCACGATTGCAGCTTTAATACAAAACTGAACTTAAAGATGATCGCAAATCGCCAAGCGCAAAACGGAACGGAGACAGAGAGAGAGAGCGCGAGAACCGGTCCAGAACACGACTTCTATGCTGGCAGCGCAGAAAGAGAGAGAGAGAGAGAGAGAGAGAGGCAGAACCAGTTGAGGTTCGCTGCTCTCCCGTCTGTTTACGGGCCATTCGAGTGGGGAAAAACCCAAGCACAAGCCGAAGCGAAGCAAAGCTCAGGCCGAAGCCACTGCTGATGCTGAAGCTGATTCTAATTGCACACAAAAAGCAAAAGGTACAGACATCAATGCATACACACAGACACATGTGTAGAGACATTGCACACAGACACATGTGTCCGTGGAGCTGTTGCCTGCTTGGTTTTCCCGATCTCTGCCCCCAATTGTTGGTTTGCCGCGTGGGTTGCCCGTCGCCCATTTCCCATTTCCCATTTCCCACTTGGCAGCGTGATGTGACTCATACGAAAGAACATCTTCCAGTTGTAAACCTGTCTACAAGTTCTCTCTCTCTCTCTCTGTCTGTTGTATTTATAGAAACATTATCTTGGGCCCGGCATCGACTCATAACTCTGCCACTTCCTGCTGACATTTGTATGCCACCAAAATGCTACCTCAAGCACATTAGATAACTCTTTTCTTTCCCCATGTCCACATCCATTTCATAGTCACAGACCATAAATATTAGCGCTAGCATCTAATTAGAATATTCCAACCGGCAGATCAAATCTAAGAACGGAGCCAGACCGCACACGTGGTCTCTGTTGCAGCCTCACTCTCAGCATTTCCATTTCCATTTCCAGTTTCGCTGCTGGAACCTTTTTAATTATGTAAAAACCAAACACGAAATGCATTTCATATCAGCACTCTGCCGCTCCCTGCCAGCACTCAATCTGTTGCGTTCTGTGACCCAATTTGCAGGCGGCCGAATGTGTAAACATAATTTACTCCAATTAGAGTGCCGCCGCCACCGCCACCGCCTTATTAGTGTGCCACGCCCACGCCAGCACACACTCCACACCGCCTGTTGCTGCTGTTGCATACGAAATTGGGGCACATATTCAGAGTGCATCGCAGATAGCAGGCACATGAACGAGGGGTAGGCATAGAATGCAATCAATAAATGAAGTGGAAGCAAAGTTAAAAGTGCCCACAGGCGGGGGGAGTACACACTCGAGCTAATTGTAGTGCCTGCCCCCAGGTGCGTGCATTTCATTCCATTCAACTCTGTGAATCTATCCCTCCTGTGTCATGCGAGTCTCCCTCCTGTGACTGATTTGTCGTCGAGTGTTTTGCCAGTGCAAACAAGCAGTTCGCCCAGGCGGCAAGCAGTACGAGCAGGCAGCAAGCAGTACGACTGGGCAGAGGGACAGCTTTAACATCGTTCTGATTGGGTCTATCAAATGTCTATGGCATGAAGCATTTCTGATGGCATTTAGATGTGTATCATCTGGCACCACTTTCAGCTGTCATTTTGTAGTAAGAATTGCCTCAATCAGCTGCACTGATCATTCCTTCTCTTGTTAGATTCCAATGAAAACAAATATTATTGAATATGAAATTCCCTAGAAAAGCAAACGCAAGTCAAAGATTAATTCACAGATTTATGGGAATTAAAGAGAAATATACCATTTATGTGCATTCCACTTTTCATTTGCGATTTCCTTCAATTAGTCACTCAATTAACCACCTCACACCAACCCACTGCAAGCCACAACCCACAGAGCATGAAAATATTATAAATTGTCGCTGCAATGTTGCCTCAATTAGCGTGTGCAACATGTTGCAAACCACAAAAGCAATTTGTTGCTGCAAGCTGCCAACCAGACTCTAGTTGGACGCTCATTAATTTGCGTGTTGAGTGGAGAGTCGCTGGAGCATTAAATGACATGGGAGCAGGTGTGGAGTGGCGGAGTGCAGGTGGAGTGGGAAGTGCATGGAAGGCGGCAAATGAGGCACACACACTGGACTGACTGACTGTCCGTTGGCGTCGCTTACAACAAAATCGCATTAAATTGCACGCTTTGCGGCACGATTTGCCCGATTTGCATATAATTATGGCAAATAAATCATAAAGTTGCCGTCAAAATATTTACACATGCGATTTCCATATACAGACGTTTTGTATGTGGCGTGAGTCTGACGCCGCAACATGTTGCTAACGAGGCGACTCCACGCTCCTGTAGCGCCGCCACTGCATCCGGAGCCTGGCATCAATTAAAGCAACATAAATGAAACTTATAATTTTGTTTTAACTTAATCATAGTCGGCATTCTTTGTCCTCTCTGCCCCCCGCTTTGGCTTTCCCACTCCGCTCTGCAGAGACGTAAATGCAGCAGATCATGCATTTAGCAGCATTTATAGAAATTGCTGCGGGAAGCGAAGCTGCGCTCTCTCTTGCTGCCCGCCTCTTTCCCGCTCTCACGCTTGCTGTTGTCCCAAGAACTGTACAGTTCTTGGGCAGGGCAGGGGGAGAGCCGACTGCAGGTAATCGCTGTTTAAATTTGTACTTCGTGATGCAATCATTCTGAATGTCAGAGAGCTCGGCAGAGACTCTCTGTCGCTCCCTCTCTCGTCCGTTAAGCTCTTTCGTACGTTAGGCGCCATAATGGGTAGAGCCTTGCACACACCCACACACAGATCTCAAGTGTGGGAGAGAGGGAGACAGCGCTCTGCTGAGGTCAGCAGCCAGGCAGTTGTTGTTTTTGTGCTGCATTGTTTGCGGACTCCTTTTGTGGGCTTGGTTCTGGCTCACTCTGCGTGTTCTTTATTGATCTAAATTTGTGGTTTGCAAATTTCCAGCTCCCTCTCTCTCTCTCTCTCTGTGTGTGTGTGTGTGTGTGTGCTGCTGCTTGGCATTCCATTGGCATTTTGGGGCCGCCGCAATTGTCTGTTATTTCCTTTATAGATCTAACTGCCAGGGACTCTAATGAGCCGAGATCTTATTGTAATCAGTTAAGGCTTAATTGGAGCCGCAGCCACGCCCCCACAATGGGGGGAATCAAGAGCAAGATTAGGCGGAAAGTACCGCTAAAGCAAAAGCAAAAGCAAAAAGCTAACTGCCAGTGGCGCTGGCATTTTGTTTTATTTCTTGTATCCAACCGACTTGACTTGCCAATATATCAGACAGCAAGCACAAGAAAACGAGCGGAACAGCCTTTCATTAGAGTGCAGGAAAAGAACAACAAAAAAAGAGCCACAGAATAATGATGAATTGCGGCATTATCGCACGGGTAATACAGCCATGGAGGAGACAGCGAACCACATAGGAAACTGGAGCACACCGGCACGAACAGAGAGAGAGAGAGAGAGAGAGCGGAGCACAGAGCCAGGCCAGGCCAGGCCATGTCATGTCAGGGGTGGAGCAGAGCCCCAGAGCCCCGAAGAGCCCAAGACAAATATGTAATTGGCCGGCAGACACGAAGGTGCGCGAGTATCACGTACAAGCCAGGCAGACTCAAATGCATCGACATGTTGATTTATTTGCATTGCAACAAAGCCAAGAACATGGGCGAACACTGTGAGAAGTTTGGGGCCAGAGAGCAAAGAAAGTTGTGTCAGGCAGTTCCCAGCTTCAGATGCAAACATTTCTTGCAGTGCTGGAAAAATCCAACACGTTCTCGTGGCCAATTTCCCGAACAACTTAATTGAATTTCGCCTCGGGGCAGCTCTTGGCAGCAGTGCAACGCCGCGTATACGCAATGTCTTCCCGGTGGCTCTGTCGCTCATTTGCATTTTTCATTCAGCACGCACGCAGAGCCCGAGAGTCTGATCGACCTTAGCTGCATAATGTGGCTTATTTCTGGTGTACATTCGCTGGCCCCGACACACCCCAAAAGCCGCCTTCAACTTTAACATTTTTGCCACGGATCGCGGACTCTTTTTTTGTTGTGGATTTGCAATTAAAGTCGCAGTCGCAGTCGAAGTCGAAGTCGGAGCTACGCCCAACAGCCGCTGGCGGATCCACCCATGACAATTGCCTTTGACATTTGAGAGACGGAAAAGCTGGAGACTGGAAAAAGACTAAAAGGAAAACCAATTTAAAAGCGTTTTTGTTTTGCTTTTTTGCTTTTTTGCTATTTGCTGCCATAACTAAGTCGCTCTCTGGCAGAGCCGCACCTTTGTCGGCCTGTCAAGCTGGAAAACTGGCCAAGAGAGCCGCAGCAGCAGCAGGCCGGGCCAACAGTTTTGACAATTTACCACCAGCCTCGGACTTGCGATGTCCGACTGGGAATCAGAGTCTTACCTTCTGTCTCTCTCTCTCTCTCTCTCTCTCTCTGTGGCTGTCTTTGTCCATTTGTATAATTGGCAACTCTAATTTTGTGTGCGCTTTGCGGGAATCCCAATCCCAAACCAGTGGCTGCCCGGTGCCTTATTATGGAGTTGGTGGCTGGAAAATTCACGATCAGCGAGCAGCGCGGAGCCGGTTAAGCGTGAGTAATCGGAAAGGCAGCAGGCAGCAGGCAGCAAGGAGAACTGCACAAAAATGAAACTGGTTTGTGGGTTTTGGGGCGGCAGCTCTAAGAATTACAAGCACACACTGCAAGAGAGAGAGAGAGAGAGAGAGAGAGAGAGATAGCTGTAGCCAGTGTTGCCATAATGCTCGTCATAAATTCTCCAAATTACCCAACACGTCGAGGTCTCGGACTCGATCTCTGCCTCTGCCTCTGCCTCTGCCTGATTGCAAATTGTGTGACAGCAAAGTTCGCCTCGCTCCGCGTAAATTGAATTTATGTAGCGCGCTCCCTGCCGCTCTCTCTGGGAGCTATTTACTCACAGGATTAATTGTGCCACGAAGCTGGACTCTGTTGCAGTCCATTCGTCAATCAATGTACCCCCAAAGATATTGATTTCCAAACATGAGCCTCGATTGAAGCCACAGCTGCCGGTGCAGTCGGTCCATTGAACTTGTCCCGCCATTTGGAGATCAACAGAAGAAGCCAATAAAATATTTCCATGTTCTCTTCAACAAAAGCGTTCCAAAGTCATTAAA